CCCCCCCCCCCCCCCCCCCCCCCCCCCCTTTTGCCGCTGTGCCTCATGGACTTGCTGCCTGTTGCTTGATTTGCCTTCTTGCTTGGCTTGCCATGAACACACAACTCACAACACACGACCAGCAAGTCCAAGCTGCCAGGCTATCCCCTACGAAGCATCCTAAAAACATTCATTTAAAAGTCGCCTTTGTGGGCGAGGCAGGTGTGTGTCAAGCATGAAACCAAGCCTCGCTCTTGCCTTTTTTTTTTTTTTTTTTTTTTTTTTTTTGTGTGTGTGTGTGTGTGTGTGGGAAAAGAAATTTGTGCACAAAGAGGCCCGCTCAGCCATGTCACTTCCTTGGTTTAGGAATTTGCCTCGGGCCTCTGCGTGAGCTCTTCTCCGTTCTACCTGATAGTATTCTAACCGACACCAAGCTTCTGACCGCAGCGACGGTTGGTTCTTGCTATGATGTGCTTGACCAGAGCATTGTATGGCTTGCCACGGCGTTACTTCTAGAATGATCTGAAGCCTTGCGTTCTGATAGGAAAACAACCCCCGGCTTGTCCCAACGTACTTTTTGAACGAGCACGGAGCATGTGAGGCTGCACGGTGAGTGCCACGCAAGGCGAGCACAATGTGGGCAACCACCCTAACCCGCCCCATGAAGCCGACTTGGCTCGAACTTGACAGCTCAACCGCATATCAACTTGGCTGCTAGGCCGGACTCCAACGCGAGAACTGCCCAATTTCGGGCATTGGGAACGCTGTTAGGGCTGGCTATCTTGCATCAACAGACCGTGAATTTACCACTGGCATTGCACGTCTTGGCTGAGATGCTGAGCGATCCCGTAGAGCCCAACATTGACTCGCTCGAGACCTTGGACGGCGATTTAGGCCGCAACCTGCGGTGGCTCTTGAACCGGTCCATTGATGACTTGGATCTCGATCTTGGCTACAGCGTGTCAGTCCCGCCTTGTGCGGGTGCAGCCCCGATTGAGATTGAGCTTTCACGCGATCACGCGTCCGTCACGGATGCCAACAAAAAGGGCTACGTCCAAGCCGTGGCACAATTTCACCTCGTGGATAAGACTTCGTGCGAGGTGTGATGCCCTTGAGCTGTGGGGATCCGAATGTTCTCGTGCGCTGCTTTGCGTGTGGCCAAACTGTGTCTCAACCTGGGGTCCGTGTCTGAGGCTTAGGTGAGGGATTTGCGTGAAGGCTTTCAAAGTGTCTTACCGCCGGATTTGCTGATGCCTTTCACGGCGGGCGAGTTGGCGCTCACTCTGGAAGGCGTCGCGACCATTGATGTGCAAGCATGGCAACGACATACCTCCTACTCGAATGAGTACGATGCGAACCATCAGGTCAGTTTTACTTTCTGCAGCCATGGCGTGCGTGTTGTGCCATGCTGCTCTAATCCAAATTTTGGGGGTGATACGCAGGTTATCCGATGGTTCTGGCAGCTGGTGACCACGCTCTCGGACGCTGAAAAAAGCCTGCTCTTGCAATTTGTAACGGGCGTCACCAGGCTACCCCCCGGCGGCTTCGCCGATCTTCGTGCCTTGGGGGGCGGGTCCGGCATGACCATTACAAGGGGAGGAGGTATGTGATGGATTATGATTTTGACTGCGTCGCCTCGTCGTTTCTCATCCAAGTTAAGCACGGGACCTCACCAGCACGCTGACCGCCATGATTTTAGACGTGCGGCATTTACCTGGAGCTTCAACATGCTTCAATCTCCTCAAGCTACCACCATACCCAACCCCTGCAATTCTACGTCAGAAAGTGCTGATTGCCATTCGTCATGGGGCACATGGGTTCTCCTTCAGTTGACGAGAAGCCACCTGACTGTGTTCATCTTATTGCCCTGTTCGTCCTCGTGCGCGCTATAGCAGTTCATGTTATTGGAAATAAGAGTAGAAAAAGAAATTGTAGCCTCAACTCGAGATCTACGCCTCATCAATCCTCCCCAGAAGACTGCCACAGCAGCAGATGCAGGACAAAATATGAGCGTGACTAAAACGATTGAAACGAAAGAAGACAAACCAGAAACGATGAGCCCAAACAAACAACAAACAACAAACAAACTCGAAAAAGAGAAAGAAAAAGCACAAGATATCAATGTCCGTGTCATAGACCGGGGCGGTTGACATTGATTATGTGATGAAAGAAGCCAAAAGGCTGGGTGATTTAATCGTGGCTCGACATTTTGTACTTTTCTTTGCCGGTGTCGTTCAGAATAGCGACATGCTGTTGTTGAGTAGAGGGGGGGGGGGGGGGGGGAACATGTCGCGTCAGCTCGGAGCAAGAAGCCAGGCAACAACAACGTAGGGGTCTTCGACCTTCATCAAAAACGTACCGGCAGATCCCGGAAGTACTCGTTGTAGTCAAGGGCGTAGCCAACGACAAAGTGGTTGGGAACTTCAAAGCCCGTGTCTAGAAAGGCCGTGGACATGAGCAACGGGAGAAGAGGCGAGGCCCTAGTTGGATACGTGTTGCTTGGTCGATCAGACGTACAGTGGGGCTTGTAGCCGTTGCTCAGCGGCGTGCGCTTCACAAAGAGGCTGGCAACGCGCAGGGTCTTGGGCTCATACTCGCGCAGTGTCGCGAGCAGCTTGACCATGGTGTTGCCGGTATCAATCATGTCCTAAGAAGAGAAGAACCATGAGTTGAGCGACTCTCTAGGGGAACCAGGCGCCTCAAGAATCCATTGCGCTTGAATCACACCTCCACAATCAGGACATTGCGGCCACGAATGGATTCCATGTTATCGCCACCGATGATCTGAACCTTGCCAGTGCTGTGGTCATCTTCGTAGCTCTTGGCGCTGCGTCAAGCGGCAGTGTGAAGCCACGAATAGGCCCATGACGTCTGAAGTTGCATCGTGCACCGAGGGGACGAGGTATTGTGTCCTGGCAGTACATAAGCAGTGCCACTAACCGGATAAAGTCAATGCGAAGAGGCAGTGAGAGGGGACCGGACTCGTTGAGCATCTTGATGCGATCAACCAGGTCCGCAAAGAATTGGTGGCCGCCCTACACAAGGATTGGCGAGAGCGATGAACATGGGCTCTCAAAACGGCAGCTAAAACGACGCGGCCTGCCGTGTCAACAGGCACAATGCTTCATGTCAAACGAATTCTCCTACCTTGAGAATGCACAAGCAAGTCAAAGGCTCGTACTCGAGATCGCTCACGATATCGCGCGCCATTTTGGCCACACTGTGGCATTAGCACGGCAAAAACCAGCAAGCCGAGGGGGGCTATGAGTGACAAGCGCGCAGAAGAGAGACGCCATCACAAGCAGGATGCCCGCAGAGTGCATGTACCGGTCCATGATGATGCCGTGGGGCAGGAGAATGCGCTCAAGCGAGTCTTCGTAGTGCTTGGGGATGCAAAACGAGTCGAGGGCGTAGCCGTCAAAGTTGTCGGGGATCTGCGGTGGATGAAAGCGCCATACAAACCGTAAGAGAAAAAGATCACACACTGCCCATTCGTCACAAGCATAGAAGAGTCAGGCATGCCGATATTCAAGAGTTTGGATACGTACCGAGACAAATGGCCTATGGCCACGCACGAACACACGAGAGGTGGAGAGCCGAGGAGTGAGCCCAGCACAAAGAGGAGGAAGATGAGTGAGGCGGTGCACGTGGCACACATTCCCATGAGTGGGGGTACAGACTTACTTGGGCTGGTCAGCGCGAGAGCGCTTCGCATCCACCTGGGGACATGGCAACATGACATGAGGAAGGGTTCCGATCGGCCGCAGATGTCGCGCGTATGAAAGTGTAAACCGCAAGACGCTCATCTACGTTCACAAGCAGGCCACAACATCTACCTACCTCGCTCGTGGCGGCGGTTTCGCGTTTGGCAGCGTCTTGGGCAGACATGTTGATGTCGAAGATGAAAGCGGTCTCAAATGCAATCAATGCAACGCCTGCCACCCGAGCCCAGAACCGACACACACACACACACACACACACACACACACACACACACACACACACACACACACACACACACACACATTGACCGCCGGTGGTGAGATCAAGTCAAGTCCGCCCGCATTTTGCACGTTTTATCCTCGGCCCAGGGAGCGGTGTGACACCACATGATCCCGACCAAAGGACCCATGCTTTTCCTCATCCATCACCGCCCCCGTTTTATCCACCAGGGAATGGCGGGGCCGCTGCCATTTCATGCCCCGACACACACACACACTGACAAGACACACACACACTCACTCACACGTGAAACGCCGAGTTGGAGAGTGAAGGGGGGAGGGTGCGTGTGAAGAGATGCGGTACGGGAAAGGAAGCTGTTGTAGAGAGATGGGTAAAAGTGTTGGTGAACCTAGAGAGAGGGGCTTGAACGCGATTATTGCCCGAGTAAACTCAAAGCTCAAGGCAGAGAATAAAGAGATGGGACTTGTCTATTAAGAGAGATGAAGATTGTCGCAAAGCCTGTTCAGAGATAGGGCTCGAGGCACGGTTAGCCACTTGATGCGCATTTTATGTGTCACGTGGAAGAAATAGTATTTTACTTACATGTCTCAATATCAAACTTAAGTAAATTACTTTAACATATACACGCAATGAACGCTGGTTGTGTTGGCAAAGGCGTGTGAAATACTTTTCAACGCGACAAAATGGCCTGGCGGCGAATTCCGCGCGCTGCTGGCGCTGTCGCTGGCGCTGGCGCTGGCGGCGTTCAGCCCTATTTCGCTGGACGGCGCGCGCTGAGCGTCATGTCTGTGGCATGTCAGCTAGATCAGCGAAAAGAGATGTGGTCTGTACGGTGCGTGCGTGGTTCACGGGTCGACGGTCAGGCGAGAAAGTGGGGCGGAGTCACGAGGCCCCAGCGACGCGCCTTGAGCCTGGAAGCCTTGAGTCTGGACGTGGGTGCGACCCTGACCGGCATCGTGGATGGGACAGAAGCGGCGCTCGTTGGACTGCAGGCGCAGACCCAAGCCCCGTGGCCCGTGGCAGTTCTATTGACTGCTGGCCTTGTCCGCACGGTTGTCGGTGCCCCTGCTGCCTGGTATCAGGCCCACTGGAGCTCGCGCGTCGAGCTGCAACGCCGGCGGCTGATGCAGTGGGCTGATGCCATTGGCCACCAGGTCATGCGTCGCAAGGCTTCGGAAAACTTGACAGACGCTGAAGCTGAGAACCTCATCCAAGAACAGGTGCGCTCCTTCGCCAGTTGCCGCTCTTCTCTAAAGCCTCTTGTGCTCATCACGTTCTACCTTAGGTCCGTGCACAACAAAAGGTGCTGATGGACGAAATTGGCTGGCGCCGTTGGAAATTGGTGTTGCCTGCCCTGGTCCAAGTGCCCATCTTCATCACCGTATCTCTTGGTCCGTATCCTGTGCAGACCTTGACGAACCGCGCACCCGAAGTGGGGCTATTCTTTCCTGATCGCGCTCCCTGCACAATTGTCTCGCTCGACCCGGTCTGCAGCTTTGCGAAGACTGCAAGACAGTGACTCGCTGCTGTTTCAACAGTATCAAGCCGATCTGGCGAGCCAGGGCCCGCTTTGGCACAGTTTACCCTGGACGGCCAGCCTCACGGAGCATGACATCCTCTTGCTCCCCCTGGTGCTCGGCATCACCAACTGGTTCACTCTGGAAGTGCGTTCTATCGCACCAGCAGGGGATTTTCAAATGGTTTGCGCCAACCACTCACGCCCCGCATCATGGTTTCCGCGCAGTTGAGCACCATCAAACGACCCGTCAGCCCCGAAAGTCGTGAAGACCGGCTCGGCACGGCTCTTCGCTATCTCGCCATAGCCATGATTCCCGTGGCAGCCGCCGTCCCGTCGGTTCGTGTTATGCGATGACCCTGAGCTTGACTTTGGATGTGTTTTTCCTCACTCGCACATTGTTAGGGCTTGAGCCTGTACTGGGCATCGTCCTCGGTCCTAACCTTGACGCAAAATCTAATGTTGAGGTGCGCTGCAAAATATAATGAGATGAAATTGGGAGGCAGAGAGCCAAGGGGGGCTGGCATGTTTATGCACAAACACATGCACATGAGCTCATGATTTGCTGACCATAGGCACCCGTCTGTGCGCCAGCGCGTGGGGCTGCCGGCAGTTCCGTCGGAACTGCCGCGGCCGTTGACTTCATTGCGGCGCCACGTCTTGACTGGCGCCCAACGCTTCTGGCAGGAAGTGCGGGAGAAAAACTTTGGTAATGATGCTGGTTCCAAGTCTGGAAATCCTTGAGGGGTCAATGCGACTCGTTGTGTGGCTGGCTGCGCCAGCGCTTGGACTCGGTTTTTACTTTAAGATTTTTGGTTCTTCCTTCGTCGACATTGTTGATTCAAACATTCTGGTCGGACGTCTTGCAGACAAAACATGTATGATTTGCAATTGGATCTTCAAGCGACGGCACGTGTATGTCGACTGGGTCCCGCAAGTTTGTCGCCGACTTGCAGGCAGGGCACATTCCAAACCGTCACCTGCACTCAATTTCACGCACCAAGGTCCTGGGGACGCAAAGGACCACCAAGGAAACAGAAACATGAACACACAAACCACGCGCATCCCACTGACGGACAAACAAGCAAACAACTTGACTGCCCCGCGCTCGGACCAAGCCCTGAGCACAAGTGCGTTACAAAACAAGAACAAAGAAAAGCATGGCATGGGTTGGGACTCGATAAGAAGAGACGAAATTTCCACGCATTCCACACCGCACACGCGCAGCGTGCACCACCAGCCAGGCGTCAATCTAATCTGGACGCTGGCAAGCTGACTAATCCCAGGTATCGAGTGGAATGGTCACAAAGAGGGGTTTCTCATGGGCACATGAGGCCTCCGAGGGCACGTGGCGCGCAAAGCAGTCGGCACAAAGATCGTAGTCGTTGCATCGAGTACAGTGATGGCGGTCACTGGTGATGAAGTAGCCACAGCCATCGCAGACATATGAATTGTCTTCTGCCATGGAGCGATCATACTCGGTCTGAGCATATGTCTCAAAGACGGTGACTAGCTCCTCCTCGGCAAAGCTGACGCGACTGCGCTTGGTGGGTCGCTCTGCAGGCTCTGGGCTGGCTCCTGCCTCGAGGTTGTTCTCGTCGCAGCTGGCAAGAGATTCAGCAGCGCTCAAATTCCCACCCTGTCGAGCTGCGTCGAGAATTGGATCCCGGGACACAGACCGCTTGCCATTTCCCATATCCGCAGCGTTGGGTCCACCCACGTGCGCATCCTGAGCGGTAGGGCCAGTCGGCTCCAAATTAGCATCGGCGGGCACATGCACTGCACTGGCTGTTTCTCGATCCGCTGCTGAAGAGCCAGCGCCGAGTTCTGGCAGCTTTGTAGCCTCATCTCCTGCAACGGAGTGCAAAGCAATCGGGCCTGGTGATGGTGTCTCGGTGTCGTGCGGATTGGACTGATGCCTCAAAGGCGACCGTGCGCTCGTGTCGTGTGCTGTGGCCATGGCAAAAGCTGTGCTGTTGGTGGCACATATGCACGCCCCTGCTTGGGCATGCTCTGCTCCCAAATGCCACGCGCAAGCCCAGATGTCGTCGCTCACATCTGATGCGCCTCGTTCTGAACACGCGTCGCTGCCCACCAGGTACCTGTGGCAAAACGACAAAGTGAAAGCTTGTCAAGCAGCTTCAAGCCCGGGTCATCTCCACAAGCACACACACACACACACACACACGCATACTGCCACCTGTCAATCCGCAGCGATCCAACCAAAATGACAGTGACCGTGCCACAGCAAAGGTGACGAGCACCATCGGCAACCCGATGCCGACGCCGACGCCGACCTCGACCTGCGCCTCACACACACACACACACACACACACACACACACACACACACACACACATTCCGCCATCGCACCGCAACCAACCTTTAAAAAGTAAAATACTTTATTCGCATGTGTCTATGACGTTGACGTTTTTCGTGTGAAGTTTCACAAGCTGGGCGGGTCTATCTAAATATCGGTCAAGGTTAACGCACTAGAATACAATGTTTGTGTAGTTTTATTAACCAGCACCGTGTTAGTTGAAGTAGATATATTTAATGTTGCTGCTTGTATTTTAAGAAAGGGACACGTTGACCCCTTAGCAAGCTTGCTACACAACGTGTGGTTCATGTTTGGCGGGAAAACACAACAACGCTCTCTCGCTTTCTCTCCTCTGGTTTGCTCACCCGCACCCGCCCTTTCTCTGAATTTCGCTTTTCTCTCTCACTCTCTCTCTGAATCTCTACCACCGAACACCTCTCTCTCTGTTCTCTCGTTGTGAATCTCTTTTCAACATAAATCTCTCCCACTGAACCTCTCTCTCTCTCTTCTCTCGTTGTGAATCCCTCTGAATCCCATCTTCAACTCTGAAGCTCTCTCTGAATGGTTGTCCCTCTCTATCTCTCTCTCTCTCTCTCTCTCTCTCTCTCTCTCTCTCTCTCTCTTTTCTCTGTACCGTGCATCGCTTTGGCAGTGAACCCTGCACTGTCTGGTCTGTGTGTGTCGTCTGCGGGGTCTGTGGTTGATCGCGTGTGTGTGACCTGCTCTTCGGGCTGTCATTGTGCTGTCAAGGGCCCCTTGATCCAGTGTGTCTATGGCCGTGTCAGTGAGCCGTACCGGCGGCTGTCATTGTCTCTCACCAGTCCAACACACACGTGCTGCCGCGCAGGGCTGAAGGGCCGTTGCCCTGGCCGCTGATCGCCAACGCCGCTCACAACTGCACACATATATTGACGGCTCGGTAACACCATGTTCTGGTCCAGCTGCCTGGTGGTCTTTCAACCCTGACTCTACAAGCAAGCCTCCTTGTAACCGACTCGGCGACCCCTGCATTTCAAAAAAAAAAAAGCCAAAAGTCCATCCACAGACTCTACTTCAACGCATCCGTACGCCCTGCCTCCGTCTTGCGGTTGGTCCCACCCGTCCTGCCCAAAGCTCCTTGAGCTGCTCAAATCCGGCCGCCCCTGATCATTGACGATCGGAGGGCCCCCTCATGCCTCGACACTGGCAAATCTGACCTGGTTCCACACCCGGCACACACAGGCTTGACCCGCCGTAGTTCAACGGCATTCGTATGCCCCGCAGGCAGCCAACAGGGCCGCTCCGATTTCCGAGCCCAGCTTCTTCTCCCACACGAGCCTAAACTCCACCCCCCCATTCCCTCAAGCGCTGACCAAAGACACATCGACGCGCAGCGCATTTTCCCTACAACATGCGTCTGCGCGTCGGATACTCGGTTCTCGTGGCCGTCGTTGCCCTCGCTCTCGGCTTTGTGCTCGGACGCGTGTGGCCCGTTTTGCTGGCCAACTCCACAAACAATGGCCACACCAGTTTGATCGACCTCGGATCGGTCCCCCGCGAACCCGCACATGCACGTGCCGATAGCGCCTGCGCCTTGCCGGCCCCTCGGGCCCAGTTAACCGTTCCACCCCCACCGCCCCTGCGGCTATATGATGTGGCCGATGCCACATTCATCGCGGCCGAGCTCCTCGAAGAAATTCAAATGCCCATCAACGTTCTTCTCGTGACGAGTGCCATCGGGGGGCCCACGGCCAATGGCGGCATTGCCACCGCCTTTCTTGGCCTGGCCCGTCATCTGCGAGAGAGCACGTATAAGAACCGCGACCTCTTCAACGTCACCATCCTATATGCTGCACACCCATGGTACGCCGAGGGTACTGCTGAACGCTGGGTCGCCCACTTTGCCAATCTTGGTATCAACTTCATACCCTTGCCGGGATCGGATGGCGACTACTACGGGCCCAAACTGTCCAAGCGTGCGTACCGCGCCTACGAATGGCTTCGCCCTCGTCAAGACCAATTCGATGTTGTCTCGGTTCCCGATTTCATGGGCACTGGCTACTATATGCAGCTGGCCAAGCACTTGGGCCTCGCATTTCAGCACCTTGATTTCATCGTACAATGCCACTCCACGATCCGATGGGCCGATGAACTGAATCGCCGGCCCCCTCGGGACCACAATACGCTCGCTGTCTACTATCAAGAAGAGCAATCTCTCAGCATGGCTGATATCCGCGTCTCTCCTAGCCGCTACTACCTCGAGTGGTTCAATGAGCCTGGCCGCTCCTACAACGTTTCAGGAGGCAGGAACCTCGTTATGCAAAACACCCTTTACCCACTGCCAGAGATCCGCCCGCCGCAGACCATCACCAATGCACGCCATTTTGTCTTCTTCAGCCGACTCGAGACTCGGAAGGGACTGTTTGTGTTTCTGGACGCCCTTCAGCTCTTGGCCAAGAGCCTGATTGGGACCCCATTCACAGAGCCCATTGACATTACGTTTCTTGGCCCCGACGTCTCGGCTCAGGGTCAACGAGCAAGCCGCCATATCACCGCTTTCATGAGCCAGCAGACGCGCTTCCGCTACCGAATCGTTGACAGCCTCCCCTCCCAACAAGCGCTGCAATATATCAGCTCAAGCAACGCCGTCACCGTCATGCCCACGCTCGGCGACAACTCGCCCTATGTTGTCCTTGAGCTCCTGGCGCTGGGGTTGCCCTTCATCACCACTCAAGCCGGTGGTGGCGTCGAGCTCTTAAAGGGCCAAGATGTCGACAAGTTTGTCGTTGAGGCTAATTGTCCAGACTGCCTCATGGCCGCCATGCGCCTGGCACATCAAGGGAGTATCACTGGATTCAGCTTCAAGGTGGATCCCACCAAATCGCGCAATGATTACGTGCACCTTTTTGCGGCTTCCGGGCTCCGCGGTCGTCAAAAACAGCATGCCTTGAATACCCAAGCCCAGCAAGCCCCATCTTCCTTTCCCAACATATTTGTTGGAATCACTTCCCATGATCGCCCTGATACCCTGCTTCGTGTTATCGACTCACTTCTTAACCAAGAGTATCCCTTGCAGCACCTGGGCATCGGTATTGTGGACGATAAGAGTGAGCTTCCTGAAATGCCAGACGTGCTGCGCACCGGCAAGGCCAAACTCGCCAAGGCCGGGCTGCGTGACCATGTGGTTCAGATCCACGAAGCCAACACTTTTGTGGCCCAGTCCCGAAACGAAATATTTCGCATGGGTCAAAACTACGATTGGGTTTGCCTGATGGTACGCAAACACTGGATTTGTTCCACGTCCTGGGTGCACGCAAAAAACACACACGTTGATGCAAAACTGCCGAATTCTCACGCCACATGCTCCCTGCTCATGGTAGGACGACGACGATTTTGCCGAGCCACACATGCTAAAAGAATTTATGAGCGTGGCGCATCATCAGCCCGAGGTGGAGCTGATCATGGCTTTGTCCAACAACTTTGATATCAACAAAGCCGGGCATCGCGTTTTCTCCCATACCTCGCTGGCAATTGGCAATGCCTTTGCACATAATTTCTTCATCAACAACTATGGCAAGGCAAACTTTTGTATTCGGCCCCAGGTTGCCGCTCGCATCGGCGGACATCGAATCGGCGAGTACACGCGCTCACCCTTTGTGGACTGGGCATTCCTGACTCGCGCCTCGCTTCAGGGTGTACAGATGGCCCTTGTTCCTGATCCGTTATACAACTACACCAAAATGTCCAGTGGCTCTATTTGGTACGGCATGGCCTCAGCCGCCGAACAATATGCTGGTCACATGAAGATCCTCCAAGATGTGTGGGAGAGCGTGCCCAGTCAGTTGCGCGACGTTCTACTATTAGCACGCTTTCAACTTGGCAAACCCGCTGTTCCAGCTGATGGCATGGTCTAGCTTTGCCCCATTAACCTATCGACCCTACACTCACCTCATGTCATGAGTATAAAAATTACTTCCGCTTCTGTCCTGAGCAAGCCTCCCCACGACAGACTGGATACCACTTTTTTTTCCCACCCTCCTTGAGTTTGCTTTGTGAAAACTTCTTTTTGTGTCTGTTTTTCTTTGAAAAGTGTCTCATTTTATCGCTCGTGTGAGCTATGCAATTCGGCATGACATCGGCGACAAGGGCACGCAGTACTCGACGCCCTGCTCTTCCGAGGACTCCACCTGCAGTGTTTTCATGAGCTTGAAGGCGCGGCCCACGATGTCCTACATGTACACGGTGATTCACAGTCCAATGTGAACGCAACGCGCGACTGACAGGATCGCACCAATAACCCGGTGCTTAGATGTCAGGCAGATGCGCAAGATTTTTTTTGACCAAGTTAGCAATCAGATTTACCGAAGACGTAGCATTGGGTGTGGCGCGGTGGTAGGCCACGAGTGTTTGGACCAACCGCAATCCACCTGTACGCAACATAGCATGAGATGCTCCGCAAACCCCAACTCATATGATCAACCGAGAATCGAACGACAAAACGCTCGCTTTTTTTCTTTTTTTTTTTTTGAAACAAAAACGATTCGCTTCAACAGAGCAGCAGCTTTACCCAAGTTCAAGAGGGCTTGGTGGTGGGCGGGATCCAGCGCCAGGTTTTCAAGCAGCCAGCAGCCGTACTCCTAAACGAAACCGCGTGTTAAATGAGAAAAAAATGGCGTCGCTGTGTCAGCCTCGAGAAAGAGGGCCGAGATATGCTTGCCTCAACTACAGGAGAACCAATGTGTTGCTCGATGCACTTGAGCAGGCCTCGCAGCAGGGTGTCATTGTGCATGAGCTGATCTCGGTGAGCCTTGTCCACAGAAAGGCTGAGTAAGCAGAGTAGCAAGGGCTCAACCACAGTCACCTCCAACTCGTGTCGAGACAGCAACTGAAGCCAAAAGGCAACCATTCATGAGGGGTACGCCAGCAGAGCCCACTGCCAGCGAAGCAGATGCCTCAACGTACGCGAGCAAACGCTGGGATGCACTCAGCCTTGAGTAGCATGTCCTTGCGCTCGGTGCTACCCGACACCAGGGTGTGCAGCACCATCAACCTTACTCACGCCACAAACGCCAAAGTGGTGAGTCAAATACGCATGGCGTTGAGACGACTTCGCTTCAAGGAGAACTCACCCCTGATGGACAATTCCGGAATGCTGTTCATGGAACTGTAGGGCTGACAATGTCACCACGTGCATGTTGAGCTCGCAGAGCTGGGTGCTACATGGACAGTAGATGAGCTTGCGCCTTTGGAGGAGACGCCACATTTTGCGCGAAGGCACAGCCAAAGCTTACCGACAATTGCGACATTGAGAGCTGAGTTCACGAATAATTTGCAAGCCGCAGCGTGCTAGCTCATCGTTCACCAGGTGCTTTTGCATGGTGAGGATTAAATATTGGGCCCCCAAGGAACCATCCTGGAGCTTCAGCTGGAGCAGAACAAGGCGAGTTGCCGTCAAAGATGCACATGGACCGATGGTAGCTGGAAAGAATTGAAGTGGTAGTGCGCGCAAACTTCGACAAACCTGCAAGAGAGCTGGCGCATTGGTTTCGGGCTGGCGCAACACGACTTGTGCTAGGACTTGAAAAAGTATGATCAAGCAGCTTTCCAGACCTCCGTGTTGCGCTGGCAGTGCACAAGCAATGCATCGGGTGAGCTGGTTTGTTGATCAAACACGAAGGAAGGCTTGTACTACGAGCCAGGCGTTTCAACAGTTAGGACAAAGAGAACAGCAAGTTTTATTCCTACCGTGCATTACTGCCATGAGAAGCGCCACCCAATCCGAGTCAAGAGACATCTAAAAACGTTTTTGTTTTTTTGTTTTTTTTTTGTTTTTTTCAAAAAGAGGCCGAAGCAATACCAAGGTCAGTCGGTGAGCACAGGACAGGCCTAATACAAGGTTTTCGCACGCCAGCATGAAAGGTATCAGCAGCCCTCCCTACTTTCTCCTGAAGTTGATCCTGAAGGGCTGCAAGCACGCGGAGCTCGCTTTCCACGATATTGCCGTCCCCCATATGCTTGCGAAGGCTGCGCTGCAGCAGATGCAAGATTCTATCAAGGTCCATGGTGTCTGCCAAGCGGCGACCGTTGGGAGATAAAGCCACGCAGAGAATCCATGAAATGTGTTCCTGTGTTGTGAAAATGAGCGGCGGCAGCAGACAATGAGGTGTTGACGGGCTAGTGCCAAGCCATGGAGGAGTGCTTGAGTTTGTACCTGCAGCGGCCCTTCGCTGAGGTGGTGGTCCATGAGCGCCAGTAGAATGTTGAAGGCATCAACCGACTCGAGCAGCTCAAGCCCGGCCTCCCCAGATGCACCCACCAGACTCATGGTGCAGACGGTAAGATCGGCAAGTTGAACGCTACCATCCGAGGGCCACCCGCGAGATTGTCAGAGAGCAGGGTGATGCATCAAGGACGGGGGCTTGAGCATTGCGAGCGGCAAAGCCGATCCGGCTATGGTCATGAGAGACAGACTTTGTTTGAAACTGCAACAAATTGGCGGTAAGAGCCTCGACGTGCTGGCGAGTCAAGAGATGACGGCGTGTGGATGGGTCCTCGGTGCACACTTGTAATAGAGCACGTGTTCCTAGCAGCTGCACCCGACTGGCATTTGGGTAGCGCCGCATGCCCTGTAAAATCGCAGCTGGTTGCGCAGTAGCCAGATCGAGTGATGAGAGACGCGCGGGACAGCCGTAGGCCTATATTCATTTGCGTGACTATCGTGCCAGCAACAGAACGTACGAACGCCCGATTGACGTAGAACTTGGAGATCGCGGGTGTCATCTTGCTGCGCCACTTTGTCAAAAACATGAAGGGCCGAGTCTGGATCTTCGGCGTCGACCTGCGGTGGACGCGTGGCAGAACGTGAGCGTTGAGATGAAACTTGTAGAAAGTCATTTCCCAATCGCCAGTGGCTGCCACACAAGAACATACGGCTGCGGCGAATGGAAGCACAGTCTTGCTGGGAGATCCAGCGGCTTTGTCATCTGCCACCGACGGTGCCTCTGGTTCTGGCTCTGGCTCTGGCTCTGCAACGCTCAAAACGAGCCGTGGCTGCTCGTTGTCGCTCATCCTGATCCCAACTGGCAGGGACCAATCCTCAACCGATTGGGGCCGTCTGCCCCTATATTCTGCTTTCTGAATTCGCTCTACCCAATGCCCAGCACGCCACCAACCAGTCGTCCTGTCACAGTCGCTGCGGGGGCTGCTTCATCAGCCTTGGGCGTCTTCGTCCGCTCGGTGATCTGTGCGCCAAGAACGATTTTGCCCGCTGACAACACGATACGCGAAAGCAGTGATGATTCCTTCTTCTTGGTGCACAAAGTCTGACTAACACTTGGTCAATCTAAAACATGCGACCCCTTGCTTGAAAAAGCATTCTGAAAGAAATGAGCAACGCACACTGTGTCTTTGTGTGTGTCTCTCTGTCTCTCTGTCTCCCCCTCTGTCTCTCTCTCAAACTCTCTCTCTCAAACTCTCTCTCTCTCTCTCTCTCTCTCTCTCTCTCTCTCTCAAACTCTCTCAAACTCTCTCTCTCTCTCTCTCTCTCTCTCTCTCTCTCTCTCGCTCTCTCTCACTCTGCGCTGTTTGAGGACACACACGTGTATTACGTGCTTGAGCGGTGAATGTCGTGTCTCTGAAATTGATACCGTCTTTTTACAATCTCTGCGAGGGCTTTGGGAGAACCACAAAGGTCAGCTCGGCTCGTCTTGGTTCTCTCATCCCGTGACACTGGCACCCTGCTCTCTCTGCGCGGCTCGGCTCGGCTACCTCGGCTCTTTGCTGGCTCGGAGACGCCAGAGCAGAAAGACTGAAGCGGTGTGGAGCAGCTGTTCCAAGGCGTGGCTCGTCGCTCAAACTCACGGGGCTGATTCTTGCATTGGCACATCATCACCACTGCTGTAGCACACCTCAAGCATGCGGTTCTCCAGCATGCTGCGCTATGCGCGTCGCCTGCCCAGCAGCAGCAGCAGCGGGGGCCGCTCGCTCGCCTCTGCTGCCCGCATCCAACCAACAACGGCGGGCTTGGCCCCGACCTTGAATCCTCAGCTGCGCCAAGCCTTGCTTGCCCGCTCAGCTCAAACGCTAGCCCCAGCTGCCATGCGCCTGGTCACAGCGGCTCCTCTTGCCGCAGCCGCAGCCCGCAGCCTCGCCACGCGCGCAGGCCACGGCGATAAGCGCGGTCCCCGCCCTGCGCCCGAGGCCCAGCGTGCCTTTGAAGCCCTGCGCGACCAAGGTGCGCTTTGACTTTACTCTATACCTCACCCCATTGTCGTACCGGATGACTCAGGCTGCTCAGCTTGAATTCGAGATATGCCATTTTTCACGTCAAAACGCTCATCTTATGCTGCGCAGAAACACTGGATGCTGCCAGCCTCCAAGAATTCTTTCAGAACTGCGCCAAAGGCCCTTTCAGCAAGGTCCCCACTGGTGCACGCGCCACCATGTTGCATGAGCTTGTTCAAAAAGCCTACGACCAAAACGTTACCTTGAGCCCAGACATGCACGAGACTTATCTCCGGTCCGTAGTTCTCTTTTTTTTTTTAAAAAAACAAAAACGCATCTTGCTTCTAGCACGCATACCACAACTCCGCGTGCATACCTGCCTTTACTTCGCTCAAGCTCACCTCGCCTTGTGAGCAGCACCATGCTGGCGGCAAACGAAGAGGCCCCCGTCCATGCCATCTACAATCTCCTTGCGGCTCAACAACTGCCACTGTCGCAGGTGGGTGAGCCCGCCAATTCTTAACCCCCCGTTTTTGTTGTTGTTGCCGCGCATCTTGCTTGTTTGCGTCGTACCTTTCGAAGAGAAAAACATTCTTTTCTCCTAGTACCCAGTGTGGGAGCATGTTGAACGCTAGCCTCAGGTTGTGCGCGCTACATGTACTTTTTTCTAGGAGCTCGTGACTGCGCTTATGCGATCCTTTGTTGAGACGGGCGATGTTGAGCTAGTTGACAGTTGCGCCGACAAGCTTTGCAAATTTCGTCCTGATGTATGTCCTGCTTTGGCTTGTGTGCACCACCTTGTTGTATCTCGTGTCAGCAAGCACCTTTTCCTCATCAGTCCGCCCTGCAGGGTACCATGCCCAACGAGGCTGTTCATGCAACCGTGGCCGTCCGTGCCAAGGACGGCGATATCGATGGCGCGCTGGCCAAGCTCCAAGAAATCAAATCGTACGATTCGCTTCAGTTTTTCATGCTCCCCATACCCACATATGAACCAGAACGGTCATGAAGCATCTCATGCCTCTTGCTAACCCGGTGGTGCCCTGCCCACCGCCCAGGCGCCAATCACTTGACCGGAGCCGCGCGGCATATGTCACCATCATGACACATGCCCTGGACCACAATGACCTTGCCAAGTGTGAGCAGGTCCTGACCTCGATGCGCGAAGCTGGTGAAGGCCTCTCTGAGCGTCTCCTTCAAGACTATTTGGCCTTCAAGGCTTCGCGTGGCGCCACTGAAGATGTCCAGCAAATCATCTCCGCGCTCAGTCAGGTGTGATGACGCTCCTCTGCGCTGCCCCACATTCTTGGTCGTTGACCATGTATTTCCACCTCTCATGAGGTGTCACCTCGTGTCGTGCTGACAAATGATTGAATGACAATTTGATGCCTTAGATGCTCAATCGCTCCGACTCGACGTTGGAGACGGCCTTGATGAACCACGTCATGGCTCTGCAGATCCCAGAGGCTGCCAACGCGCTGCTCCAAATTGTGCGCAGTGTAAAGAACGGCAACGACCGCGCTCGGCTCTTTGCCGTTTACGCCCGTGCTGCCATGAAGTCAGTTCACGCCTAACCAAGGCCAGACGTTTGGGTCCTTTTGGCTAGAATGGACAGGACTTTGCATCCCTTCTTATACTCTTGTGGTTTGCCACACACACCTGCCCGCAGCACGTTTTACCTGAAGCACGATAGCATGGCGCTGGCCCGTTTGGTTGAACTTCTCGTGGCCATGCCCGAGATTGAACTCAGCCATGTGAGTTGGTGTCGCGGCGCAAGCTGTAAACCCCTTTGGTGAACTTGCGGCCATGAAACGTGCCCATGCTCAACGTTGGCACTCTGTCGTCTGGCCTTGTAGATCTATCTTCACTTTGCCTTTGAGCGCTTGGCCAAGTTGGGTGATGAAGCCGCGCTTCAAAAGGCCTTTGTTGCCGTGAATTCTCGCCGCGATCGCTCCTTTGTGCGTGCATTTGAGTTACGCTACACCCTCCAGTGCCGCCAAAACAATGCCACGGGATCGTTGTCCAAGCAAGACGACTTGGGATCCAACGACATGTCTGTCAAGGTAGGCCATAGCGTCCCACCCCCCTCTTCCTTATTTTTTTTTTTTTTCCCCTTGTTTTTCTCGCCGTGCTTGCTGTGAAGACCAGCAACGCTCATCTGGTCCATGATTTCCCCAAATTAGCTTCCCACACTTCACCAAGCCGAGGCCATGCCTTTGCTAGCCCGAACTTTGGCTCGCACTTTTTGCTCTTCACCACGCGGCCCTTTCAATGCCAGCGTTGGTTCCTTGCATGCCTATTTCTTTGTGTTGTGGGACCAATCCGATGACCTCGGTCACGCCAATTATCAAACCGTGGTCTGCGCGCTCATTGGCTGTCGTTATTTACCGTCTCGAACCTTTCATGTAGAACTGCCAACGCTTCTTTGAAGCCTCTAGCCTTCGTTCTGCCACAGATTATACCGTGCCTTTGAGTCTGGCGGCCACCGAACAGGGACCTCAAACCATCGAGGAGGTAGTTGAGGTCAGTCACGTTGCTGTTGGCGCCATGGCGTACTCAACTCGCCCATTCCCTTGAGCGGCATTTCAACTAGACGCAAATTGTGTTTTTCACTTTCCTCCGTGCTGTCTTCAGAGCTTGACGCAGGCCAACTTGCCAGCAACCCGTGCCTTCTACTTGGCTCACATCAATGCCGTTGCCAACCGCCCTTCCGCCTCGGCTGAGCAAGCCCGTGCTCAGTAAGATTGCGTCTTTCTCGGGCAACTCCAGCCCCCCAACAACAACAATCTCGAGCTCATCCATGCATTTCTTCATTCTTTTCAATCCCATGTGCTCAGAGCGGAGGAGGTCATTCGCACAGCCCTGGCCGATAATCATGTTATATCTGGAGGTGATCTTTTAGCCCCTCTTGTTGGGTGAGTTTGCGCCCCACAGATGTTTTTGGCTTGATTCTCGGCCTCCTTGATGGCTTTTCATAATCTTCTTTTGAATGCGCACAGGGCCATCGCTCGACGGGAATCCGTGGCTGCGGCCTGCGATTATGTTGCCAGCCTGCCTGAACATCCAGACTTTGCCAATTTGACTGTGCCCGAGTCCATTTTTGACGACCTTCTGCGAGCCTGTATTGAGCAGCGTGACCTCGCCACGGGCGTGCGGTTGCTCAAAATGATTAAGACCCAACTCTCCGCTAAGACCTTGGCCAGCATGATGCGCTTTTATGCCCTGGCCAGTGGTCAACAGGGTGTCCGTCTACTCCTCAGCCAGGTTACGGCCCCCCGCTTCAACCTGGACGCACAGAAGTGGGCCTTAGGAATCAGCGCTGAGCGTAGTGTGGATGATTTTGTTGGCACCCTCGCTGCTTTGCGTGAGCACGGCATCATCATTGATCAGAAAACCCTCTCAGATACAATCCTGGCCCATAGCCAAAGCAACGGTCCCAACGCCGGTCGCGACCTGCTTGCAGTTGCCACGGATCTTGATGACGTGCATCGGATGGAGACGACACTTTTGCTTGATGCCCAAGCTCTCCATGCTGGACAAATGCCTGTCGAAGGCTTCTTGGAGGCCGTGAAGCAAGCGTGCACCACCAGCCCAGTGGCTGTTAAGAATACCGCCAAGGCCGTTGGCGACATCCTCAGCCAGCGGGGTTCCGCCGCCAGCTTCCAATCTTATCTCAACCTGCTGGTTGATGAAAATCTCATCTCGCAGGTTGGCATTCGAGCCTATGCGGGATGTTCTCTTTGATCGGCCTCTTTGTGTGCATGACTCTGTCAACATCTGCTCATTGTGTTGTGGGCCGTCTCTTTCGACTTGCCCACCTCTATGTTCGTCGTATAGAAAGAGGCTATGCGCCGTGTCTTTGATACCTCGGTCCACTCCAAGGACAAGTCACTGCTGCTCAAGATGCTCATGCGAGCCGTCGCCTCGGGTCAACAGCTTCCCCGTTATGATCTTCAGCCCCTGGTGGTCAGTACCTCAATTTTCAGTCCATGCGTTGTTCACCGGCGGTGATAACTGATGTGACCACATGAGAGGTGATCGCTCAACATCGATGACGCCGCCATTGATTTAGGAGCCCAAAGTGCTCAGCACGCTGAATGTGGAGCAACACTGGGAACTTTTGACGTTGTTGTCGCACGGCGATGGTCAGATGTTCCTCTCAAAGGGGCCCCGCGGCCAGCGACTGATTTGTGAATCCATCGTTGATTTGACAAAGGTGAAATACACGCATCAGATATCGCGATACTGTACATCTCCTCGCGATCCGATCCGCAGTCAGCGCAGAGTCGTCGCGTCTAACAACGTCGGTGTTTGTGCTACAGGCCTCGACTGGGGGAAACAACATGCTCGCGGCTTTGAAGAAACAAGCGGCTCAGCACGGCGTGGCCGTTGAAAACGGCAGTCTGGCCTACTCGCTGGCCATGGCAATGACGAAGAAGGGTTTCTCGGCGGACGCCAAGCAGCTGATGAGCAGCAGCGAGCTGAACAGTGCTCAGCGGCTCAACTTTGCCCACGAGGCTGCTCGTGTGGGCCATTTTGACATGGCTGTCGCTGTGCTGCCACGCAACGCTGATGATAAGATTGACCGCAAGCAGTATCTACGCCTCCTACGCGAGTTCATGAGCGCCACGGAAGTTGATATGCGCCGCTTCCGCAAGCCGTCCCAGCGCCGTGACCGTGTACACAAGGCCCTCGACTCTCTGCGTGCCTCTGGTATACCTCGCCACCCTTTGTGTCGTTCCCGGGCTGAAATTAATTTCCGTTTTCAAGCTGTTTTGATTGTCTGGCGCTGCCTGCCTGTGCCTTGTGTCAAGGCGAAGATTAATTCTCACAATGCTCATCGCTTCACCGTGCACAGAGCGTCAGGACTTGAGTGACGCCGACATTATTGGGCTTGTCGAGGAGTTCCCGCATGTTTCTTCGCTGACGCAACTCTTGGTTCAACGCGTGACCTTGGCCAGCAACATGAGCGAAGTACGTGACACTGTCTTGTTTAACGTTGGCCTCGGTTGTGAGCAAGAACGAATGGCGAGCTGACATGGTCCATGACTGCAGGAAGCCTACGAACGCTTCATCACATCCAAGTTGCGTGACGCACAGATTCCACCCAGCCAAGGTTTGTAGGCACCAGCTCCAGGCACGCAACGACCTGGTGCTCTTTTTATTGCGATCACCACCAACATGCTTCATTTGAGCCTGGATGCCTTGGCTCTTCTGACTGCACTGCACATCCTGACCCTTGTTTTGGAATGCAGTGCCACAAGTACTGGACGTCATCCGCTCACGCAAACCAGCCAGTCCTGAAGCTCTGCATCAAATTTTCTACTTTGTCAGCGAGCACGGCGAACCGCAGGAAGTTCAAACTTACCTGCAGATGGTCAAGGTGAGGCTGCTCCTCTGAACAGCGGTGCTCGATATGGCAAAAGTTGGTTAACATCAGCTTGCGATCTGCGTCAGGAAACTTGCAACAACGATCCCGAAACCATGGTCCGCGTAGCCATGGGCTTGATTGACGTCAAGAACGACCAGGCTACATCTGTGGTGTGTATCATTCTGCTCGTCGTTGACCCTTGTCGTGGCATTTGCATCACTCCACTTTCGCTGGACTGGAATAGATTCAAGAGATTCTGCGTGAGTTTGTGCCAGAACCCAAGACTCGGGCTGAAGCCATGCTGTATGCACGCTTGGCTGCTCGTATGAAGGATGATCAGGCCCTCATTCAGGTACGTGGCCAGCTGTATTTTTTGCGACGGTCAATACAGTTGTGCGTTGCTGACGGGAAAATGACGCTGCGCGTGTTTGTTGTACTATCTGTAGTGGGGCGAAAAACTTAACGAGGACTACAAAGTGCATATCACGGGTGATTTACAAATGGAGCTGCTGGAGGCCCACCTCCGTTCGGACGATTATGACGGCGTACGTGTTGAAGCGCATCACACTTTTGTTATTGCTTGGTCTTTTAGCGGGAATTGGAGATGGACATGGTGTACAGGCCTCACCTTTGATGCCAATAGGGACTGAAACTGATCGAGGAATCGCTTCGGGACAATCGTCCGCGTGACATTTTGCGATTGACCCAAGCACTATTTCGGGCCAATCCGCCGCAGGAGGTTGTCATTTCAGCCCATGACGCTGTGTTCCGCACGCTGAAAGAAATTCCTCCATTTTACTGTGCAGACCTCTTTCGCAAGCTTTTCTCGCTACAGCAGCCGAAGCTCGCGGTACAGGCCTTGCACCAGTTACAAGCACGTGGAACTGCGGCTGGCAAGCGCCAGATCACGGGGCAGTTTGTGCGTGCTGCAATGTCGCACGGCCAAACGGATGTGGCCATGGAAGTGCTGAGCGGTGAACACGCCAGTTTTGCTGCTTTCCGCCACATTTTCCAGCGCTGCATCGGACGCAAGGACGTGCCTCTTGTTGAGGATGCCATTTATTTGCTCAAGAAGCAGCGCGTGAGTGCAGTTTGACTCGGATCGTTTCTCGTCCAACCGGTGTAGACCAGTTGCAGTTTCGCACATAGTCTTAAATCTACTCTCATTTGGCCGCTGTGGACTGTCTGATCTATAGGAAGCACAGATGGTGGAGCTCAATCGGGCCGACTTTTCCGAGCTGCACGCCATGCGTCTCCTGACGTACTGGCAGTCCGGTGAGCTGGGCAATCAGATCACTGAGCTGATCCGCGCCGCCGAAGCCGACCGCGCTGTGAGCGTGCTCTATGCTGAGAACATCTTGCGCAAGATGCATGAGGCCGGCGATGTCGACGTATGCACCGCGTCCTCCTGATCTTGACGCTTGCATGGCTAGCCCCCGCTCTCCTCATTGCTCTTGTGCACGTCCCTTATCGCTTGCTTCCTTCAACAGGCCCTTGAACTATTCTCAACTTCAGTGGCTGCCATTGGCTTTGAGTCCATTATCAAGGATGCGGCTGCTGCTATTCTCGAAGAGAAGGCGCCCGCCACAGCCCAGTAGAGCAATCACAGTTTCTTGATTTTTTCACGTTGCCCTCTGCCCGCGACCACTCTCCGCTTCTCTTTTTTACAAAGTCTTTTTTACCTTTTTTTCTTTTTGCAATGCCACCTCGACTTGTCCACTTCGACTGATCACCTGAATCGCTTTTCACTCCGAGCAAACGAGCAGACTCACTCTGCCTGGCGAGCAGCCCAGCACCACTTTATCATGAGCCCAGCCCACTCCTTCACACATCCTTACCAACAAAAAAAAAAGAGAGAGAGAAAGAGTGTGAGAAGAGAATTCACATGTCAGTGATTCATTTGAAAGAAAGAAACCAACACGAGGTAATCTCTCTCTCTCTCTCTCTCTCTCTCTCTCTCTCTCTCTCTAAATCTCTCTCTCTCTCTCTCTCTAAATCTCTAAATCTCTCTCTCTCTAAATCTCTCTCTCTCTAAATCTCTAAATCTCTCTCTCTCTCTTCTCTCTCTCTTCTCTCTCTCTTCTCTCTCTCTCTCTCTCT